CCCGTTAGTCTGGATAGACTTAGTATGCAGCATCCTTTTATTTATTTTTGTCTGTGACTTTGAGGACTCAAAACAAGGTATGGTGTTTGTTTCTAAATGGAAAACTTATTTGCTTATCAGTTTAACTGGCCTGATGTAATTATATTGAATCACTTCACCTAGTCAAAACAATGTTCTTTCTCAGTGTTGGTTTTTATTTGACTAGCAACTTGGTTGTTATATCCCCTTGATTTTGTTATACAGCTTCAAAAGATCATTGGTGATCAGAAAACTAAGATACGAAAGACTGAACGTGCTCTTCAAATTGCCGAGGTATTCTATCAAAGATTCAAATCTTGTTACATTGTTTTTTTAGTGGTTGCCATGACGGTTTAATTGTCTTTTCATGTATGAATCCTATTTAGGAAGAAATGATGAAGGCAAAGTTTGAGGCAACATCCAAGATCAAGGAGTTGATGGAGGTATAGTTACCTTTTGCTTCTTATTACTTTCATCAGCTCATGCTGTGAATGTTAATGATGTGATGCAAGTATAATCGTAATTTATATTGTCTGAATCATTTCAATTTATATTGTCTGTGAGCCATCTTTGTGTTAGAAGGCTTTAGTCTAACTGACATATTGGTAGGACTTCAGGATTCCTGCATTGTATGGAAAGACGTATTATGAATATTGTGTTAATTATATTGTCACAAATATAATTAATAATTAATGAGTTTCACTGTCAAGTACCATAAAGAAATCAACAAACAACCTTCATTTACAAGAGCATATTCTTACTGAAAAAATTAACACGTCAAATAGCCTCTTTTGCTTTGGTTATGTAGCTTCCTTGCTCTTTCCAAACCTCATGAATATATTTGCCATGTCGATAAAAGTTGCTCCTTGGTATCTTAAGAAGCTACCAGATTTATATTCCATTTAATATCTGTGTTTCAAAGTGCAATAGAGAATGTCACAATTCACACAACCCCGGCAAAAGGTAAATAGTGATATATTCTGTTACTAATAATCTCCAGAGTGTGTTCACCGTGTTCTGTTCGATAACTTTTGACGGACGTCATCGAGAAGTAACTTATTTATTTATATCTTTAATTTCTGTGATATGTATGATCAGATTCATGGTGCTTGGCTTCCGCCGTGGTTGGCAGTTCATCTCAATAAATATCAGGTATGATATATACTTAATTTTCCTATGCTAATTACTTTTTGCAGGCTTCAGTGTTTTGATTAGGTCGTATTTGTATTCTCAGTCGCTTCTGGAGAAGAACTGGAAAGTGCATGGAAAACCTGCTCTGGAGATGTTGATGCAGAAGGCAAGTGTTTGCGGTGCATGTGCTGCACTGTCACAGCACATGGTTCTTTATAAACTTACGATTTACTGATCCGCATCTACTCTTTCCCCCCTTGTATTAGGCTGTTGAAAAGAAGGCCCAAGCTGAAGAGTGGGCTGCACCACATGTAGAAACTATTAAAACTGTAAGTCAGCCATACACAAGCTAGCTGATAGCCTTTTGTTGTTGGTGATTGATTTGCAAGTAAATTGTGATTATGTATTCAATACAATGTCCTCGATCCTGTCTTGGTTATCCGATACTGAAGCTTTGGTTTATATACACTGATGATATCGTTCTATGTACTACATTTCTTGATTTTTATTTATTCTTTTTCATTTTTTTTTATTTTTTTTATTTTTATTTTTTTATTTTTTGTGCGTGCTGTATGAAGAAATGGGTACCAGCCGTTAAGGAACAGTGGGTTGTGATAACCACTAATGTTGAACCGCATGTTCAAACTTTGACAACTAGAGCTGTTGAGTTATACGAAGTATCAAAGGACACTGTGACTCCTCACATCATTAAGGTGCAGGAAGTTGCCGATCCTTATTTTCAGGTGAGCTGTGAGCTGCCTATTTGTCTACATTGATTCATTTACCTTATCTATCTCTGCGCAAGCTGACCTAAATCTATGGCCTTTCAGGAACTGAGGAGACTTAGCAAACCATACATCGATCAGGTTGCCACAGCTGCAAAACCTCATGTCGATAAATTACGCTCTGCTTTGAAGCCGTATACGCAGCAGGCTGTGCATGCCTATGGGAAATTTCTTGAGTCGGCAACTACATATCATTCTCAGGTATGTTATTGACTTAGCTCACATTTAAATTCATCCAACCCGAAGGTGAACAATCTACTGTGCCTCACTTTATGATGCTCAAAAGAATACCAAGTGCTGAATGCTGCTGAAGGTTAATCGTTTAGTTTATTTTTCAATTGGCTAATGTAGATTAATATGATGGTTTGTGAGATATGTTTTGGGCTGAAAGGATGTTATATGAGCATTGATTTTGCAGCTGCCTAGGTATATTGTGGATAACAATAATCAGTTCGGGAAATGTGCATCATTAATCGTACTTACCTAACCCTTGAATGAAGCACACTGGAGCCATTTTCATCCTCGAAATGTCTGTGTCATGCTTGATGTTGGAAGCATGAATTCGGATGAATTTACATGGAAATCACTTAAAATTACAGTTCCTTCTCATTTCTTTTGTTCCCCTTCCTCTAGGAAGGGGTACGGAAGCCGTACCATGATGACAAGTCGGCATGTGAGGAATGTAGCTGGTGGAAAATAAAGCTGATATAATAATTTCTTAATTCCTTCTTTTACTAAATAATGTGGGTGTCTTCGAACAGCACTATGACATTCAAAATTGATATATTACTAAACCATGAGTAGAAGACTAGAAGTAGTTCGTAATAAAGGTTTATGGTGTTTTGGAAGGATATTAATAATGAATCATCACTACTTAATAGGTTGTGGAAGGATATTAATAATTAATCATCACTAGTTAATGGAAGGTACATACTTGGACGTTTGTGTTCACAGTAATTGAATTGTATTGTATGTAATTATTTCTGTTAACTATTCTGGAATTATGTTTTTTTAGCTATTTTTAGCATATAATTGTATGACCTTAAAGCATTGTCTCTTGTTAAGGTTCAAGATGTAGTACACGAGAAACTGAACAGTCACGAGCTCACAAAACATCTTGCAACAAAAGAGTTGGTTTGGTTTTCTGTAAGTACCTTGAAAATATTTACGGCCTGGCCTTTAGATTTTATTGTGGTAATATGGATATATATCCATTCATTTACCAACCTTCTGTTTTGTAGGCCTCTGCACTGCTGGCTTTGCCCATCATTTTTCTTTTGAAAATATTTTCAGCCACTTTTGGGTTAGTGATTTACCATTGCTTATTTTCCTGTTGCTAAACAGGGTAAAATTCTGTGATGTTACCCCTAGCGCACTTGAAACTTGAAAGTATTCGTAGCTCCCTGTCCAGTTTTTGTAAGGTTTTCTTTCTGTTTGTTTTTTGTAGAAGTAATAGAAAGCCGAGAAAGCCCGTCCGAAATGGTAATGCACATACTTCCCGTCGCAAGGGAAAACGTGTACATTCAGACAAATGAGCCCGTTAAACTCACTCTATTGTTTCTTATCACAAGGTATGCGTTTCAAACGACAGCAATAGTCGTCGTGTGAAGATTAATTGAAGGACAATGCATAGTTCTTGTACTAATTAGTGTTTGTGCGAATGCATTGTTTTACTTGTTTGTTTATCTTAATTGAAGGATAACGTGGTCCNCATGGGTGCAGAGCTTTAAGAGATCAATCTGCTCAAGTATGTTGTTGGTCTTCAAGTGTTGGCACATGTCAGTTTATTATATGTAGAACAGAAAAATTGGTGGTAGCCAGTAGGTCATTGTAGTTCTTTTTTATGCTTTTCACGTGTAGTTTTAAAAAGCTTATTCTTCGGGTGTTGTGTGTATCATGGTATTTGCCATTTGATGATATCCATGTCGATTTGTGTTTTCTAGACCGTCAGAAATCTGGATTTTAGTATCTCGCCTTTTAATTGTAGAATCGAATTGAATAATTAAATTAGATTTGGCCAGGCCTTTGATTTGATGGATTACGTCTAAGACTGTTCAAACCTCATGCTTGGATGGAGTCGGAATAAGTTGGACGATTGAAGAATCTAATAAATGCATTGGGTAAAATGCGTCAAGTAATATAAATGAGATGATAAAGTTTCTATCCATCCAGATAATATAAACATGCATGCAATCCACACAAAAGTTTTTCAGTGGACAGCCAAAATCAAGACCCAAACTTAAACAACAAGCAACAAGTACCCTTCATCAAATACAGCTAAACCAAAAATACATTACCAAAATAAAAAAATCACAAACACCTACCTCACAAACAAACACTCCTTACTCCCACCAATTTAATTAATTTCCCATGTAGGAATTGGAAGGCCAGTAAGCATCCAGGTCAGCACACTGATCCATAACCACAAACCTATTAGCACCATTATTATGATCAGTGGCCTGCACACTCATGTCTTGCTGCACGAGCGGCTGAGCTGAGGTGGCCCTGAGGTTGAGGTTGAGGCCGGAGATGGTGAAACAGCCATTGCTGTTCTCTCCTCCATTGTACAAGTTTATATGAGGTGGGGCCGCCGGGAGGTCGCTCATTATGGCCTTGTTGAGTTGTTGTATTTCGAATAAGTTGTTGAGGTCCGTGGATTGATGATGAAAAAGCGGTTGGTGTACTGTTTGGAGTGGGTTTTGGGGGAGGGTTAAGGAGGTGTAGGGGCTCATCAGGATTGCTCTCGATGAAGACTGGTTGTTTGAAGGGTATTTTTTGACTCCAGCGCTTTTTTGAAATACTCGGCACACCACCCACTCGTCTTGCTGCATGCATGGGACAACTCGAATGGTGATCTATGAATAATATCTTTAAATACCGGACATATATTAAGTAAACTAATGTGTGAATATTAACTGCTCTTTAGACTTTACTCTAGCAAGAAAAGATGGCATCACGTTTAGATATGATATGATGGAAAAGAAAGTTTATTAATGTTGCTTGCGGCTTGCATAGTTTGCAAGAAAAGTATCAAACAAGTATACCAACAACTATTGGATTTCTCATATCCAAGCAATTCGAGGGTATGTTTGCAGACTATTAAAAGTATCAACTATAGTTGGATTAAAATGCAATTTCTTTATTAACAAAATAAACAAAAACGTGCTCCAACGTATCAAAGCATGGAATACAAATTAGTTCAGTTAGTCGCAAATTACGAAAATAGGAAAAGTGAAAGCTACATCAATTATATGGTTAATTTGGAAATATATATGTCTTTCAGAATTCTATGTTGTTAATTAGTGAAGTCAATGTACTTAACCAACAAAACTAAAATAAAATAAAATAAAATTAGCAGCTTCAATATTGTTCAAATATAATTTGGCCGAAATTAGGCTAAAATAAGAACGTCTAGTTCATTTCTCGAAGAAAAGAAAAAAAAAAAAACGTGCAGTCCATCAATATATGCATACCCGTATATGCTAGTTTCATTTTTCTTTCCAACAATTCATTATTTCGTAATCATCTCTTCAAAATTTACACACACTCAAACACCATTTTTTTCTTATTTTTATAGGACCCTAGCTAGCTACCAGCAAAGTACAACATGATGAAGTGATATAAAAAAATAATAATAAATGTACCACACACTTAAATCTTAATTATCCACAATTAATATGACTAAGAACAAGACACACCTCCTAAGTCCTAAATGCTAAGTATCATTTTATGTTGGATTGCAAACCATTATGTCAACCTTTAGCCTTTAGGAGTGAAATTAGAGAGGGCAGAAGCAATTAAAAGAGAGTAAATTAAGCGGAAAAAGAATAAAATGTATATGCACCTTGGTCATGTTTCTAAACGCGGATGATCTAGAGTGAATGCGATATTCATGCATGACCCAATTACTTTTTTCTCCTCTGGGCGCTCGTCCTTTGTAAAACACCAATGTCTTCTTCATCCCAACTAACTCGGACGTGTTGCTGTTGTATATCTCCTTGTCTTTTCCAGTCGTTTTCCAGTACCCACTGTTCGTGGCCCGGTTTGTGCGCACGCCTGTCGGGTATTTCCGGTCACGTAGGCTGAAAAAGTACCACTCCTTTTCTCCCGATTTCGCCTTCCCTTATAGGATAATATAATATAATATTATATGCACCAAATTACTCTTGCATGTTGTGCAAGTAATTCAGAAATTTTGTGTTTAGATATATATGGTTGGCTAGTCAATGAAAATTTTTATAAGATGGATAATAGTAAAATTACCAAACACCACCAATTATAGGTTAATTTATTAATTACTTTGAGTAACAAATTCTTTGACGTTCATATAAATTAAATGACTCGATCGGCGAATAAGTTCTTTATAAGTTGCATTGGCTCAATTTATTAGTAGGTTTGTTTAATAGTTTTCTTTTACAAGATCAAATATGTTATTTTAGCATGCTTTGCTTCTATTATGCCCAAACCCTAGCTATGCACATGGATGTGCTTAATAAAATTAAGTAGCAACCACTTAATTGACCATTTGTAGGAATTAATTAGGTATATATCAGAATTAAGGTTACAACTACCTGGAAGATCCCAAGGCTCGCATTTGTTGAGATCGACATCTCCAATTGCTCGTCCTGTGAAATTTGAATCTGAAATCTTGTTGATTAGGTAGCATGTGATGAGCTCCTCATCCGTTGGATGAAACCGATACCCGGCAGGTAATTTTTCCTCCTTCACTTCTCCACCTCCTTCCATTACTTCTAAACCTAATTTCTTGTCCATCTTCTCTTTTCTAATTAGAAGAAACTAGGTCACCTTGGAAAAGAAAATAGACCATCAAAAAACCCTAGTTAGATCAAAAAAGACATTGAGAAAATTGTTTTTAATAAATATGGCAAATGGACAGCTACAACTTAACTAGATTAAGAAGAATTAGGCAGGAAAATGTTTTTAATTGTTATACAAGAAATGGAAACGAAACAATTTTTTCTTACTTGAATGCTATGGAAAAAGTTGTCCAATTTTTTATGTATGTAGTGAAAAAAAATTTAACAAAAGAGGGAAGAGGGATATATGCGATTTTAGCTAATTATAAGATTCACTAGGATTTGATTTTGTGTCATACTAATAATAGTGTTGCTTGAGGTGAGCAACAAAAACTGGGGACATAAATGTTGAGAAAGGAAAAGATAGACGACGAGATTTTCTGTGAGTCTCACCTAACATGGGTCTTCAGGTACACGGTGCTTGACATTTGCGTCTTTTGAAAAGTCATTAATTATTGTGTAGCTGTAATGAATATATGGCCCACGTGGGATTTGATTAATTTAGGGCCGTTTTAATTATCCCGTGTTTTAATTAGTTTATGTAAGTTGTTTTGTACAGGTGGCTTGGTGGATAATGGTGTAAGCACTGTTTTGTGACCCGGACCGGCCCGGAGCTGGAACCGGTCCGGGTGGAGTATTTGGACCGGGCAACCAAGAACCCGGTCAAACCCAGTCAAAACCCGGCTGACCCGGTCGAGACCTGGTCGACCCGGTGCATTGACCCGGCCGGGTCAACCCGGTTGACCCGGTTCATATATATTTTTTATATTTTTTTTTTTATTTTTTAAAAGTAAAACTATGTATATATGGTTTTATGGTAAATATTTATTATGAGATACATATTATTAACACTTTAATATATAAATTTTATACACAAAACATTTAATTTTATTACTTTTATGTATATTTATATAACAAAAATACTATATATATAATTTTAAAAATTTTAAAATTAATTATCCGGTTCAACAATTGACCCGGTGACCCGACAGTTGAACCGGTGACCCGGTGACCCGGTGACCCGAGGACCTGTCCGGGTCGATCACCGGGCCGAGTTTAAAAACTATGGGTGTAAGGATGAGTTATAATTGAGGCGAACAAGTTCCAATCTTAATTATCTACGGCAATATAACAATTTTTTAGTCTCATACTGTATACTTCATATGTAAGCATTAAGAATTAAAACACGTTTAAAGCGACTGGCATTTATTAGCCATAGCATTTATTAGATAGAAAAGAGAGTGACGGATAGCACGTAGGGAAATTGAATGAATGAGCATTTGGAGCATCCACAATGCTTTGGATTCAATTACAAAAAATTGTATGTCACGTAAGAAATAGACCTAGTCTAAAAAAATATATTTTTCAATGCAAACAAAAGTAGACTGGGTCCTGCTGATGTGGCAGCCAGAAAAAGAGACCCGGTCTACCCTTGAGTCTATTTTAGCCCCAAGTAGAGATCTAGTTTCTTTGTATTGGAGTGAATTTTATCAAATTTACATAATTTTATCCATGTCATCCAATATTTGTGTTTATTTTAATGCCACATAGGTAAGACTAGACCGAAGGCATTGTAGATGCTCTTACAATGTATTCAGTCTAGTCTTTTGCCTATGTACCATGTGTAGATGTACACGTGGCAAAACTTATCAAACTCACTGCATTAAAATCGCAAAAAAATAGCTAGTATCTTTTAAATGGCGCAAAAAATAATCAACAACTCTAACAAATGTACTAAAATCTATATATATATAATAAGAATTACCATTTACTAAAAATAGTAGCCAAAAATTTAAGAAACATTTAATGCATACCATTTTTGGAAACTTTTTAAATATATGCATTAATTGTTTCTATATACACGTTTCAAATAAGATCAAATAAGATATGTTCAAAAAAATTACTTAAATAATCATTGATATTCATTATAATAAATTACAAGATTGGTTTTCCGTAATTCATGTTGATAATAATTTGGTCAAGATAAATATTATTTTTATTAATATTTGTAATACTTTCATTGATATTCATTATGATAAATTACAAGATTGATCTCTATGATCTATGCTGATAATATTTTGGTCAAGATAAATATTGTACCATATTTTAAGTTCTAACCATAATATTAATTTTTTTCACAAATATTCACTTTTTATCCAAAAATATTTATGAAATTCTAAAAAAACATGTGTATATTTTGTAAAATATTTATACACTATTTAATTTTAAATTTATTTACATATTTTAAATTGATTACATAAATAAATAACCCTAACGTGCATTAAATATTTTTCATTACATAAAATAAAAAGAAAAAGTAGACGTACAACTTCAATAACCTTATAAATAATAATAACATCATATGACAACAAAGTTTATAATAAAATAATAAGTAAGTATTATTTGGTGAACAAAAATAAGTAAAATTGTTATTCTCTCTTATATCGAGGAATAAATATATATACTAAAATCAAATTTATATTAGTATAAATGTGTTAGTGAGATAATATATTAATTATTTTACAAGTTAACCCTAGCATGCTCATATTTATTGTTTTGACAAAAAAAACAACGCTGATTAAAAGAGGTGAAAAATAGATTGTAACCTTATTGTTTATTATACTTAACGCTGATTAAAAGAAGTGAATAATAGATGATAACCCTATTGCTTTATATATTTAACGGACAAAGCCTGTGAAAATAACTTATTTATTATTTATGTTCCGTGCATCGCACGGGGTACGTACTAGTATTCATTAACTAATAAAACCACACAAGTATTATTCAGAAATAGACGGGCTCCCAGGAACGCAACTGAGGTGGCATCCGAGTTGCTCTCTCGTTGAACCAAACTAGTACAGTACCCGTGCGATGCACGGGGCTATATTATTTTGTCCTTTTTAAGAGACAAAAATTATATAATAAAGGAACGATCATGACATTACTAAATATATTGAAAATAAAATATATATATTATTAAACACTTCTTTATATACAACATTCATGGTTTGATTATTTGGCACGTCGCCGCCACAAATTAAGATTTTCAAACCATTTCGATTAGTGACACGGGAGACAACAACATACAATTGGTTGTAACTAAACACATGTTTCTTAAGAAATATGTCAATATGCGATAAGGATTGTTTCTGACCCCCGAAATTTTTAAAAAAATGAATTTTTTTATGTATAAAACGGACAATTGAAAATAAGTCAAACTAATTGCACGGTCCTAATAAATCAGATAATCGAAAATAAGTCAAAATAGTCGCACGGTCCAAAATGAAGCAATCTGGCATACATGATTTTTTTTCTTATGTGGAACTGCAATGTTTTAACCGATGATATGTTATTATTTGAGTAATTACTGAGTTTTAAACACTATATATATGTTTGAAAATCATACAATTTGTCACATATTTACAAATTTTCTTTTAAATGTAATCAGTCTTTTCAAGTTATTCAAAACATATTTTTGTTTTGCATGTTGTATATTCGGCGTTGCAAAAAACATAAACAAAGTAACATGATTGGCTGAAGAGCTCACTGAATGGATATGAAAGGTATGAACTAATGTCGAATAATAGTATTATACGGTTTTAAATATGTAATTGTGGATTAAAGTGATTTTATGAAAGCAGTTTCCATACATATTACGCAATGTATGTGTTTTTATGAAAAATTCATAATGTGGATTATCCTGGAATGATCCAGCTGACATATACATATGTTTACCATTTCATTTTGAAAAATGATGGAATTAACATCATTTGGTGGGAAACAATGCAAATAACAACATAAAAAGTTGGATTAATACTTCAAACAGGCACGTATTATGGCAATATATATATATATATATATATATATTTATTTTTTATAAAACTTTTTGACTCGTCTGAGGACGGTGCGGCATGGTACAAAAATCTAAACTCAAGATCTAGAAACTCAAGAAGGCTCGCATCAAATAACCTTATAATACGTAGCAAGGTTACATGAAGCTGGAATCACATTAACAATCTCAATTACATTGCTCATTTAGAGCGTAATATTCAAACTACAGGAATTGCAAGTTTAAAAAGTACATCCAAAAAATTAAATAAAATACCGTAAGCAATATTTGTTGTTGCAGCAGCTGAAGCTGAAAGCAAGCTGTCATAGCAAGTTGTCATGTCTTACATATCCTGCAAACGTTATGCATCAAATTAAACACTATCATATGGCAAAGAAGCCCAAAAAATATCAGACAAAAATATTGAACAAACCATTACAGTTATCACCTAATCTACGTAGATAAAAAATTTGCAACAATAAGAATTAAGGTCAGAGACACGACCATAACATCAAACAAAGCTAAGAAAAGTCATATACCACCAATGATGGATAGATTCATCTCTAGCTAACCAAAATTAAACTCATACACATTTACAACTTGACCCCAAGTGACTAAGGCACCATATGGTTTCCAAAATTTTATGTCAAAATTGATCTGAAACTACTAAACGAACCATACTTATGCAGAACTTGCCATAGGATCTCAATTCCTTCACCGACTGCAAACATAAATCAAATTCGCACAAGAAACTAAAAGCAAAAATCCAAAATGAAAAAAAAAATAAAAATCGACTGAATAAACTTCACCTTTGCAGCTTGAGTTAGCCCATCAGTATGCACCAAAAACTTTTGATCCCATTTTCCCTTTGGGCTGCCCTTATGCAATCCGATACTCCTCAGTTTCTCTAACAGCGATTTCATGTCCGGCCAATCAATGATCACCTGAGCCCCGAAAATCTCTGTCCACTCAAAAACTTCGAAACTTTTGAAGAACGAAAATTAACTCGAAATGAAATGGTCAGAGCCAATTTATATTCAAGATTCTAAAAGGAAATCAAACAAATGGTTACGCGAAATTGAGGAGATTTTGTTTTCTATTTTTTAAAAGAAATGAGAAAATTCAAAGGTTGTGCGTCGGAATTGAGAAGGAAAAGCAAATGTTGTTATAGTGACGACGGACCTCTCATATCTAGAAGTCGGGTTTGGTAAATTCCGTTTGGTCAAACTGAAATCTACTCTCCTGAGGGCTTTTTCTCCAATCACGTCCAGTGTGAACCGTAGTCGCTTAAGAAGGTTGCTACTTCTCGCCGGTTACAGCCACCTCCACAAGTGACCTACAGGTAACAGTGAAAATAATATAATTTCCCCTTGAATAAAGTGACTTGCTATTGTGTTGTTTCCTCAAAAAAGGAAAAGGACACAAAAAAATTCTTAACTTGTGGACCGGATCTCAATTAACTTTACCTATAAAGTTATCTCATGGCAGGTGGTTATCGCGAGGAGCGCCTTTAACTACGATACCCTCCACTCGTATCTCCTAGTCCTGCCATCGATGCACACCGTTCTCAGATCCTCCGCCTACGAATCGAACACGGGCACAACCATTGCCTGAAACATCGAGACCCCCATGATGCAATGAAATTAGGTCTCTTTGCAATAGTAAATGCCATAAGACGTAACTTGAACTTACAGTTCCATAGCACTTAACAGTCCAAAATAAAAAAAACATACCTAAAGCTCCTAAAACACGAAGAGCTGCCTGTGGATCTGTATATTTAAAAAAAATAGGTAAAAGAAAGACCATTCCACTCTCTAATTATATTTCAAAAAAACGATTACAACTTTCACGTGAAATTGTAGAAATAAGAGAGAGGATGATGTAAAAATATTATAAATTTAAGAATGGAGATTTGAGGTTTTTATCAGTTCCTTTTCCAAGGAAATGGAGGAGTTGTCCTTCCAAATAGCAATGGGAAATCAGAAAACGTGGCACTAATAAATGTGAAATTTGGGAGAAAATAAGGTGGTGAGTGCTGACCAACGGGCCATGGAAGGATTTCTTGTTAGTCTCATCTCTAAATAATTTCACCCCTTGAGTCTAACATCCCCGTAAAAGAAAAAAAAAATCCAGGCATACCTGCGCAGGCCTCCATACTCTCCATACAGAGGCATTCTGTACACCTTTCCTGAAATATCACAAAATAAACGAACAGAAGAATAACTGAGAACAAACCTTTCATAATCAAACAACGAAACATTGGAGTGGATCCAGACCTTCGAAGCCCGAGCGCCAGTATGGCCCGATTCTTGAAACAGAAAACCCCAATTTTTTTTTAATAAAAGGTAGCATAATAAAGATACACACAAAGGGCGAAGAAGAAGGCACTCGAAACAGAACCCAAAAGCGGATGAATACTGCCACATACCTTCTTCGAAATACAATTGAGCCTGAAAAAAAATGCAAACCAAATGAAATGCACTGCAGAGCAGAGGTAAAACGCATGGTGGAAAAAAAAGAAAGAGAAATTGTAGCAGATGATAGAAATTGCGAAAAAGTTTAAAGCAAAAGTCGTACCCAGATTTCCCGTTCACAAAATCTTCCAAACAGCACCGAGAAAATCCACACAATCGCGTCGTACGATTACAGTCTCACCAAAAAAATCTGTAAATTTGTTACCTAAAAAATTGGGATTTCTATGATTTCATAGTTCAGAAAATCCGGTGGTTTCTCGAATAATTGGAAACAAAATCCGGCCAAATTGTTTATACTGGAATGATTCCAGTATTCTGTTTTTTTGCCTCATTCTATTTTGAAATGATTTAAAATAAAAAGAAAATCAAAAAATAAATAATTTTTGGATTATTTTAATTGATTTCCACAAATGGGAAGTCAATGGTGTTGTTGACCAGTTTTTTAAAAGTTTCCACAAATAATTTATTGACCTCTCTTTTTCAATATATATAGATAGATATAATTTATAATAATTGATTTACATTTTATATTAGAATCTATAGAAATACAATCTTAAGAATTGTCATAAATTTATAATATCCGACATGTTAAGTATATAAATTTGTTTACCTAAGATTGTGAGCATTGTTACAATCATAACTGTTTATGTTATTTCCCTATTATTTAATTTTGATTCATGATGACAAATAGAATTTTATTTTCACATATATGATATATTTACATATTGAAACATGTTTATAAACTCTTTTTTCTTTTTTTCAAATTAACAGGGGCATTTGGGATGTATTCAATTTTTTGGCATGTTTTCAATTTTACATATTACAGATTTATAACAATGCCGCAATTATGAATGTATTTGAATATTAGAATATAGATACATCTCATTTATAAAATATATATAACTGTTATTATTTTATTTAAAATAATTATTAGAACCTATAAAAATACAGTCTTAAGAATTGTAAATAACCATATGTCAATGCCCCTTTATTTATTAATAAAATCGTATTTTAAATAAAAATAATCTAAATGCATGATATTTATATATATTGAAGAAAATAAACAGAATTTCACGTTTCATATTGTAGATGCTCGAGATATCATAATGTCAACTCTTTATATTATTTCCATATACCACAAAGGCCTCCTTTTCACCTCAACCTAATACCACAAACGATGAACATTTTTTGGTTCGATTATCTAACAAAAATGTAATGCATAAAAGTGGGCATGAGCATGACTGACTCGAGTTTTTTTTTTTTTTTTTTTTTTTNAGATATATGGTATAACATACATTATTCGAATGCAGTAGATAATCATAATTCTAAGACTAAAATTTCACCCAAAGTAGGTTCAAAAAGGAAATTAATCCATGGCTACCGAACTAAATTAGCTATCATATCAAGCATTAAAGCAAAGCCTACCCACATATCAAATCTCAGGATAAAGTGAGATTCCATTGGTAACATATGTTTGCGAAAGAAAACCAAATGTGGAAATTTAAGCTTTATAAATTCAAGCTTTTCCCCTATGAAGTAGGGCAAACAACAAAAGCACAGGCTAAAAGCAATACTCTTCTCACATGTGTTACATACTTTATAGAAATTCAAGTACGCTCAATAAAATAAAAAATACAGGAAAACCAACACAAATATGTTGGAATAAACTAACCTTCAAGGGCATTTTGCAGCTTAAGTGCAAGAAACCATAAAGTTGAAAACAAAATGTTATTTATAGTGAGAATACTATATGTGCTTACCTGCCATCATACTTATGATACGTCTGCTAGCTACCTTGATGGATCGACTCCAAGTGTTTCTGCAGCTAAGAGATAAATAGCCTGAAATGAATATCATAAGTATTGCTGCTGAGGGAATTCTTCCCTCATCCGTTTTGGAGCCTACAAATAAGGTGCCACAAATGCAAGGAAAAAGGCATATCAATGTTGCATCCAAATATATACTATCAGAATATGTCATAATGCAAGCCAGAAAACTTACAGCAAGATCATTCTTGAAGGGAACCGTGAGTGGGTTTTCATCTATCATCCTCCTATTAGAGTACATCATTTTTCCATCCTGAGCACATCACTATCAAAACACATAATATCAGCTCCAAAATCACACACAAACAAATTTTTTTGCTTCTACGATGCAAATGGGGATACTCACAAGAGATGCCCCTAACATTTAGTCTAACACATTTTGATAATTTCTGCACCACAAACTACACATCCTTAATCGTGAGAATATGTTGAAAAAAGGCGAACCTCGAGCAGGTGTTTGCAGTACCTTATGAGAGACATGTTTTTTTTTTTTTTTTTTCCAGAAAAAGAAAGAAAAAAAGTCTCAAAACCTCAAGAGCAACTTTTGCATCTATTCCAAGTCTAACCTTTTACAATCTGTCTGGACATCCCCCTTTCTTCTGAACTGTAATACTCATTTCCTTTCTCAGTCACATTGCAAAACTCGTTTTCCGTGTTTTCTCTAATGAAAACCTTTGGGCCCACATTACTATACTTGCAAAACTGAGACTCCATTCGTTCCTTCCTCACATTCCCACCACAAGGCTGCAAATTAGAGTTGCCCGTAACGATCATACTCCGATAATCCTCAGACGTCTTCACCTATTCAACCTTAGCACCGCCAACACTAACCTCAGCTCATCCGCCGTGATTAACCCGCCCCGTCCCGATCGAAAACTCTAAACGCTCGCACTCCTCTTCACCGATGTCACCCTCACCCTCGTCGCTTCCGCCGTCTTCCATTGTCGCCGCGTCCAGTGCGCCAAACTCCTCGGCGTCCACCTAGGCAATGTCGTCGGCGTCAGTCTTCCCGATAATCGCCCGCAACACTTCTCCTCCGGCACGCAGATCCCGAGATTCTCTAGCGAGTCGCTAAGCTCCTCCCGGCGGTTCATCGACTATGGAGAAGACTCGATGGAGCTTTGTCGTTCCCTTCTCATGTTAAGCCAATTGGTTTGGATATGATTTTGGGATAATTATTTTGGATCTGAATTGTTTAGATCTAATTTTGAGAGTGCTGGAATTTGTTTGGATGTGATTGTGAATTTGATCGGTAAGTTATGTTTCCAGCGATAATGAAGGAGTGATTTTAATAAGATATTAAATTGATTTTGATAAGATTGTAATATACATTTAAGGATTGTTAAGAATTGATAAGATATCATGGGAACAGATTTCCTAAAAATCCTCATATTTGATTTCATAAAAAAAGATTGATTTCATAAAAATCAGATTTTTTACGGTAAAAAAAAAAAAAATTGAAAATCAATATGCAATCACATGTATATATCTTATCACGTTAAAGGTATATTCATCCCTAAAAAACAGGAAAAAAAAAAATCATATATTTTGAAAGGATTTTTAAATTAGTTTCTACAAATGGAAAGTCAATGGGGTTGTTGACCAATTTTTTAAAACTTTCCCAAAAGGATTTATTGACCTCTCTTTTTCAATATATATAGATAGGTTATTTTGTTAGTTTTGAGTCTTTTGACTATAAAAGATGAAGAAAATGAGGCAACTCAACAAGGAGAATAAAGATGAAAAAATGGAGAATGTAAGAAATTACGAAACCGGAAAATTAAATGAAGGAGCTCTTAAAAAACGTAAAATAATAATTAAAGATAACTAATGTTCCCCTAGAGAAGGTGTTAGTTAATTACTGCGATTGAAGCCTAATTATTTGTTCTAAATTCTTCTTTTCTCAAATTAAATATACATCAGAATAGGGGTCAACTTTACTCTTACAAACAAAATCCCCAAATCGGTTTTGCGCAGTCAGCAACAGGCGTATCAACTCAAGAATTTGCTACCAAAATTTTGATTTATGGCAACAATCACATTAAATCCGTAAAAATTTACCAATAACATGATTAAAATCATACTTATCAACCAACAAGATTGGACTAAAACGCATAAATTGTGTGAGTATCGGACTAAAATCTCAATTTATCTCATCCCACGACAAAGAAGTTACCGGTTTGTACTTCGTGATTTTTAATTTGGCAAAGTCGTCCTAAATCTTTAAAAGCACATGTAGGTAAACTTGATTCAACAATTGTTGCCTTATATTTGGATAAACTTAGTTAAGAAACTAGTTAATAGCTGAAAACTTAGCAAATAGTTTATTAGTATATTTTGAGTTTATTAGTAAAGTGCACGTACATCGCACGTGGTGACGAATGTTTTTTTTTTTTTTTTGTCGATTAAGTTTAGTAAAATAAATTAATTAATTTATTAAACATATCATTGCAGGAACAAAATAAAATGTAGAACAAATGAGCTAGCTTCTAATGTATTTTTTTGTCCAAATATAACATAACGATGTACTAATATAAAAAAATTAAAATAACATATTACAACCCCGACAAAAATACATGAAAAATGACTCCATATTTTTTATTTTTTAAAAAAGACACTAAATAACTAAATAAAGACAATGTATATTATAAATGCATTAGTTCTTTTTTTTTTATTTATGTTTGATGATTCAAGAGTGATGTTCTTTCATTTTAGTTTTGACATTCTCATAATAAAAACATTCATACCCATTCGAGTTCTATACATCAATAGGCAATTTCTTCTTAAGTCATTAGGCAAAAAGTCTACTTTATTCAACAATGCAAAATATTTTGTCCAAACATATAGTCAAACTCTATGACTATGGTCTTTATAAAGCATTGCTAATAACAATTAATGAATATCTCTGTGAAATAATCAACCATGTCACTAAAATTGCTGATATTATCTTTTTTTTTTTAAACTACTACATTATTCTCTCTCCATATAGATAAATTGACACCTCCCCCATGGAGGAATCGCCCACGGTGTGAGAATGAGTTTTATTTCTAAATAAAAGTTGACCTTTCAAATTATTGGTTACATATACTTCTCCCGAGACGCTAAATTATTTTTTTAATCATCACACATTACATGAAGACTAAATTATTTATTGAAATCATCATACATTACATGAAAGTATATACTCTAGAGTACTTGCACATATGTTCGAGCACAATACCCCAATAAAATTGTAGATATTTCTATCAAAATATGATAACTTCATTAAAAAATTCAAAAATATTTTAATCATGCTCCGACATTTCCTTTTCAATGTTATTTATTTTGAAGATAGACGAACTATATAATATGTTGTTTGCAAATTATTGAGCAGCTTGGTTGATCCAATGATTTCAAATGCTTTTATTGTCCAAATTTTTGCATCAATCATAAAGTTTCAAAAATTTATGGTAAATATCTTTTCTTGATTCTTGNNCNNTG